GATCAGTTCCTACAATCACTGCTCGTCAGTATTCACCCGGCGTTCATTCCAAACCATTAAACACTGCATTTAGCCATTCCCAACTTGAAGTTTCCGTATCCCAAGGGCTCTGTGGCCAGCAATCCATTCTTTTTCCATTTTTTCTAAAGATTCAACAGTTCAACGTCAGTGCACTTTTAGGCTCTGAATGCATCTCAATGAAGCTCTGTGGAGCCACATAATGAGCCAGTAAACAACACATTCTCAGCCCACACCATAACCCCATCTACCGGTACACAAATTATGTTTTTAAGGTTTTACGAAGTCTAACCAGGAGTCACTGAAGACTATTGCAGCTGGCAAATATGATTGCTGTAGACTAATTTCCTGTCAGTTGGTTTGACTGACTCAGCTCTCATTTACCTACAGTGTGCGTTCAGGCTCTTTTATCTGGAGTTTAGTGGGTGTTCAGGCTTGCTGAAAAGTGCGTAGGTTTTAGGAAAGCGTGTCTGCACACCTAACCTTTAGCAGACCTACCTTTTGTGGAACTGTAGGTGTGATAAGCATTCTTATAAATACAAAAACGTTTCAACCACCTGTTTCCCACATCAGACGGCACCAGTTAGTCTTTAAATAAGTGCGGTTTTCAAACTTAATTAAATTCAAAAATAAAAGAAAACTAAAAGTGCTGCTGCGCGTCGAGCAACCTCGAAGCACCTTTAGGCGCTTAGTTTGAAACGTAAATGAAGTTTAATTTCAATGAGCGCTTGGACACAAAATCTGCGTGTTTTGACGTGCTGCAAATTAAAAGCCATTTAGATTCCCAATACTGCAAGTACCATGGACTTCTTTGTTAAAATAACTCTGCTTTAGGTTTTCCTCCACAGGTGTTTATTCCTTGTTAGCTTATCAGCACCAGAGGACACTATTTTAGTGGTGTCCATCTACACCATGATGATTTTTAGATCCTCTTTATAACCAAATTGTGATTTCATGCCATATTTCATGAAAGCACTCAAATACCTATGTTTATGCTTCTATTTCCTGCAGTCTGGTCTTGGGAGCGCATTTTCAAATAGCAGAAATCACACATCATGTGAGTTGTGTGTCACATGACTACCAGAAGAATTTTACATGCAACTCTCGTTTCTCTTGACACCCTGCTGAAGATTCCTTGACCCCTATATTTTTTTTTTTTAAATGGTAAAGACAATGAGCTCGATCATCTTGGTCAATATTAAGATCAGTGTAATGTAAAATTTTGGTGTGCTTGTTGAAATTGTATTTGTTGATCCTCGCTTAACTCCTAAACTAAAGTGCTTCCTCTTGTTGCCAAAACTTGTTAGGAAGTCAGTTTGGGTGTGCTGGATTTGCAGTACAAAACGAAAAGAGACCCCCCCTGTGAAAAGGAAGCCCGCACAGTGATTGTTTTGTTCTGCTTATGTCATTTTTTTAATATCTGGAAGCCATGACTGTAACCGAATAAACATTTCTATTAATTGCACAGCCGTAATATACACCTAGCAGCCTGACACCTTTGAAGTCATTGTTCTAGTAGACCGCCAAATGTAAATGAATGTCATTTACTCTTCTTTTAGCTTTGTTTTGGTCTCCACCTACTACTTGGAGAAACATCTGGCTGTGCAGCTTCTATAGCCTTTGGCTGTCTGCCAGAGGCTGACGAGTGAACGCACCAAATGGGCTGTCAATCTAAAACAAGCATTAAAGATTAAAGACACAAAAGCTGCTCAGAGCTGTAGTGTTAGCTGATAATTCTCTCTAATTCTGACACAGC